CGGTACGGAAAACCACGTCCGTGAATAAGAATAAAGGCCCCTTCCCCTGCTAGGCGCTGCTATTGTGCTACTCGCTCTGGATGAGGCGGGAATGCAAGAGAAATTAACAACGGACTTGGCTCCGCCAACAAAGGCAGTTGGCGTGAGACAAGTATACATATGCGGATAAACACAGTCAGCTTACTGGAAAGGGGTGAAAAACTAGAGACTTGGCCGAGTCTAGAGTCTAACTCCAAAGTTTGGACGGATGAATCCTGTTTCCAAGTGAGAAACAAGGAATGCAGATGGCGTGTGTGGAGAGTTAGCGGCCAGTGAATTTTCGCAGGCAGGCTATGCCAATGCTTCAGGCGGATGGTCAACACAAAACGAAATACTTCCGTCTTTACAGGACTTTAGTCCATCTGGGAATTATCGCTCCAGGTTCTCCAGGAAAACGGTGGTCCTCCTCCATCCAAGCGTTTCACGCCAAATTCACCACTAAACTGACCTTGTGACCTGACAAATACCGAGATTCCATTTCACTTGGCAGGTTTGGAGCTGGCCAGTTAGCTAGGTTTGACGACTCGCAGCATCTGTAAACCCGTCTAATCCTGCGAATGATTCCTCTGTGGGGGAAACTCTGGTCCCCACAAAATAGTACATATAATCGAGGAATCTGGAACAGCGCCTGAAGACCAAACAGAACACTCATGCTCCATCCTGCGCACTCACACCCAACTGCTGAAGATTTCTCCCGCGTAAAGACTATTATGAAGGGAGTATGAAGGGAGGATAGCATTGAACTTGTTGGTGCGCTGTGTCCCAGCGAACCACGATTCAGGCAGCTCGAGACTCACGCAGTTGTCACCTCCGATGAGGACAACGAGCTCTTCGAGTTTGAAGGTGTGACCGGATCCTATGGAGTGAGACTTGGCCTGCCATGTGGCGTCATCCCCCCTCACTGGCTGTCCGGCCATCCGCGTCCAGAGTGCTCTGCCAGTTTCTCGGCCAAAATTACTTTGTCCGTAACTAGAGCAGGTCTGATGGTCAATTTCAGACATTTTCCGCCAATACAGCGCTTCTTTTAGTCCGCTTACTTGGCATCTGACGGTCGCCGCCGGACGGTATGCAACGTTCACAATCTATAATGAAGTGTTAATCTGCCTTGCTGTCCTGGTTTTGCGCTCTCATGTGAGTCTGCTGCAGTCCCCTGCCGTTCCCTCCAGCGTAACTAAGTTCGTAGGAGTCGCATCGGACCTGATAAACAATTCTTGTCGTTCTTTCTCACACCAAGGCCGTCTTCGGCCTCTTGATCAGGCATCGGATCGATCCCTTCAGTCTGTTGACAGTGCCGCTCTCCCAGAGCTTGTACGCCGCGATCAACCGCCTTGGAAACGTAGTGCGACGTGAGAAAACAGGCAAGCGAAACCTTCTGCACGCAAGAAAACGCTCGCAAACATTTGGCGCCGGTGCGGAGCGTCACTCGTTTCGTCTGTGTATGCACCAGTTGAAGAAGTTACACGGATAGCCGTTCGCTCATTGAACTTTTTTTCATCGACGCATCCAACACTCCAACAGAAAACCTTTACGTGCGTGCGTTTGCGACTGAATGACCAACTGCTGTGGTGACTCGTTACTTGCGCCATAGTTGTCTTTTCGCAGGACACCTTAATTTTTAGGCCACCGCCGTCTTTGCGGAAGACGAGGACCTTAAGGATTGGCATTTGGTTCTTGTCTGAATTCTTCCCTCGTCAGCTGCATGTGCGTCCGGATGTTTTTGAA